TTGACAAATAAATAAATAAATAAATAAATAAATAAATAAATAAATAAATAAATAAATTCACTTCCCTCGGGAATATTCCCATTCTTTCAAATTTGGATGTAAACCAATCTTGCAACAGTTATAACATGCAACATTAAATATATCATTCCTTTACTATATTTTCCTTCTATAATTCCCAATAGGAACAATTATGGTCTGAACTTTATTTTTTGGTCAAGCATCTCTTCTAGCCATATCTTAATCTGCTACCAAAATTCTTTTGCTTTGGTACATGACCACCACATATGATAGTATGTCCCTAACACTGTGTTACATTTCCAACATTGTGTTTTTTCTCATTTTTGCCAATCTTGTTGGAGGTAGGTGCCACCTGTAAAACATTGGTATAGGTTCTCTTTATAAGAAGTAGCCATGGTTAGTTTGCTATTCCTTTCCCATAACTTTTATTTCTAAAGATATTCTTATTTGCCATCAAAACACATCTGGTTCATTAACTCGGTCTCCCAAGGAAAGATATGGAGAAGTCAGTAATAGATTAGGTTATTAAATACCATATGCAAATATAAGTCTATATAGATTAATGTATCAAATAAAAGATGTTGATAACTGCAGGCAGAAACACAAAATATAAGTGGTTCACAATTGTTTGGGTCCTTTTATTTCTAGACAAAAGCTGCTAAGGGTAATCAAGTCTGACAATATTCTGAAAACATGACCCCTCAATTTAAAACTGTACTTACAAGACGGACAGCATGAAATTTTTCCTAAAACTGTCAGATTATCCTGAAATATCATTGCAAGCCAATCATAAATAAAGATAACTATGTTTTAAACACATGCAGCTAATATAAAGAGATTCCTTCATTTGATGGGAAGGTAGACAGTATAAAATTGTGTTTTAGTTTTAAAATTTTAACTAGTGAAACTAGCAAATTGTTACCTAGAAACAAATTAGTTATATCTTCCAAAAATATCACATTTCAACATTCATGGAATCAATTATTAACCAATGCATTATCCTCCACTTAGAGACAAACAACCTACTCTCTAACAAATAGTTTGGTTTCAGAAGGAAACTGTCCTGTAACCTGCAACTCTTGCACTGTAAAAACATATGGACTACACAATTTCATCAGGGCAAAGCAATTGACGCAATTTACATGGACTTCTGTAAAGCCTTTGATTCAGTGGTACACGACAAACTACTCTAAAACTAAGGTCTTAAGATATCTCTGGATACCTGCATAACTGGATAGAAGCATTCCTGTCATACAGGCAACAAATGGTCAAAATTGGGAGCATCCTATCAAATCCTGTACCTGTCAACAGTGGTGTCAAAGGCATTGTTCTAGGACCAACTCTCTTCATACTCTATAATAATGACCTCTGTGATTATATTAAGAGCAACTGCGTTCTTTTCGCTGACGATGTAAAGCTATTCAACACCACTGACAATGCTGCTACCCTTCAAAAAGACCTCGACTATGTATCAGAATGGTCAAACAAAGGGCAACTTCAAATCTCAACAAATAAATGCTTTATCTTATATATTGGCAAAAAAAATCAAAAAAATAAAATACAAGCTGAATAGTCAAGACCTTGTTGATGACAAAAACTTTGTCAAGGACCTTGGAGTACTCATCTCAAATGATCTAAGTGCTACAACCCACTGTAACTACAAAAATGCATTAAGAGTTGTTAACCTAATCCTGCGTAGCTTTTTCTCCGGTAATATCACTCTACTAACTAGAGCATATAAAACATTTGCTAGACCAATACTTGAATGCAGCTCATCAGTCTGGAACCTGCATTACATATCTGATATTAATACAATTGAGAAAGTCCAGAAATATTTTACGAGAAGAATCCTCCACTCCTCTACTCGTAACAGAATACCTTATGCCACCAGACTTGAAATTTTAGACCTAGACAACCTAGAACTACGCCGCCTTCGGTTCGATCTAAGTATAGTATATAAAATTATATATTGCAATGTCCTACCTATCAATGAATACTTCAGCTTCAACCAAAACAATACAAGAGCACAAAATAGATACAAACTAAAGATAAACCGCACCAAACTTGATTGCAGGAAATACGACTTCAGCAACAGAGTAGTCAATGTCTGAAATACTCTACCTGACTCTGTGGTTTCTTCCCCAAACCCCAAAATCTTCAACATTAGACTGTCTACTATTGACCTCACCCCAAGAGGTCTGTAGGGGGCGTGCATAAGCGCACCAAAACGTGCCTACCGTCCCTGTCCTATTGTTTCTTTTTTTTCTTATTCGTATCCATTTCATGTATTTATAACCATGTTTATACTTATACCTGTTATCTAATAATTGTTTGACAAAATAAATAAATAAATAAATAAATTTTCTACTGCAGAAAAGGATTTCTTCGTTTTAGGGTTTCCTAATGCAAACATTTCTTAAATTCTTATAAATGGGGGAAAAAAAGTAAAATTGAGTCAATCTAAATGGCAAGGCTTTTTTTAAAGCTTTAATAAAAACAGTTCTTGCCTAAAATCCCAGGGCTGATATAGTACTACTCTGATCATCCAATAATTTATATCTACAGCCTGTCTTCAGTCTTCATTTAGGTATAAATTTAGACAATTCAAGAAATTAAATATAAACACAGGCTATTTTATTTTTATTTATTTATTTATTTATTTGATTTGCCAATTGTTTACAAGATAATAAGTATAAGTGTATACATAGTTGTGAATACATGAAATGGGTACATATAAGAAAAATAAAAGAATAAGAGAAACAATAGGACAGGGACGGTAGGCACGTTGGTGCGCTTATGCACGCCCCCTACAGACCTCTTAGGAAAGGGGTGAGGTCAATAGTAGACAGTCTAAGGTTAAAGTTTTTGGGGTTTGGGGAAGAAACTACAGAGTCGGGTAGAGTATTCCAGACATTGACCACTCTATTGCTGAAGTCGTATTTCCTGCAATCAAGTTTCGTGCGGTTAACTTTGAGTTTGTATCTATTGTGTGCTCTTGTGTTGTTATGGTTGAAGCTGAAGTATTCATTGACAGGTAGGACATTGCAATGTATGATTTTATATACCATGCTTAAATCAGACCGAAGACGGCGTAATTCAAGGTTTTCTAGTTCTAGAATTTCAAGTCTGGTGGCATAAGGTATTCTACAACGAGTAGAGGAGTGGAGAACTCTTCTTGTGAAATATTTCTGGACTTTCTCAATTGTGCTAATATCAGATACGTAATGTGGTTCCAGACTGATGAACTGTATTCGAGTATTGGTCTAGCAAATATTTTGTATGCTCTGGTTAGTAGTGTGATATTACCAGAGAAAAAGCTACGTAGGATTAGGTTAACAACTCTTAATGCCTTTTTGGCTATGTAGTTGCAGTGGGCTCTACCACTTCCACAGGCTATGTGGAAAGGCACTATGAGAAATAATAATTTCAACTTAAACACAAAAGCTTTTTTAAATAGCATAAAAACAGTAGCTAATGGATTGTCTTTCCAGCCTCTTTTAGTTAGAGCAGCACTTTCTCTAAAAAACAGATTTTTCTATGCCCTAATTATTTCTCAGATTACTACTACATAATCCATGTGTTATTAGCCTTGAAAGACGTTACACCCTAAAGCAAAATATAGCACCTAGAATGTTTTTTCTGATGTAAAACAATAAATAACCAATCTTTATACACCACCAGGTCTTTGGTAGTTTACAATAGAAAGAAGAGAGCCTTAAAATTATAAAGTCAAGTTAAAAGCAGAATATTAACAATGAATTAAAGGGATCAACTATTAAGGGACTGTCTAAAAAGATAAATTTTCAAGACTTTTTTTTAAAGCAAAGAGAACAATTATGCCTCTCAATTCATCAAGGGATGCACTCAAAAATGTTGGAGCAGCGAATGTAAAAACTGTTCTAAGTTGCCATGAGTCATGTCTTTGGCAATAACAGATGAACTTTCTTACTAGGCCTCAGTGAGTGATAGGAGGAATCAGAGACCATTCTCAACATCCAAGGCTCCTACGGCTTTAAAGGCAATTAACAATACACAAATTAACTTCTTTCAGATGAAAGAAACTGGCACCAGGGTAAAATGCCTGTTGGTTTCTCAAGTGAACCTAATTTTTTTTTAAAAAAAAAGTCTGTTTCCTTAGTCTACGTTTCATATTCTATATCCCCTCGGAAGGACTATGATCTCATCCCAAATTGGTAAATGTTATTTCTCTGAACGATGACCCTCAAATTTATTTATTTATTAAATTTATAAGCTGCCCGCCTCACTGTCTGAGGTAACCCTGGTTGGCTTACAATACAGTAAAAAATAAAGATATTAAAACAATTATAAATATAAAAATGGATTGAAATTGTAAAAGAGTAAATATAGACCACAGAATACAGAAATGAATATTTTTGCCCTGTTTGTGTTCAGCTCTTATTTATAATTCCTTCCATACCTTATAGACCACTAAATCAGTCTTAGACCAACTACGCTGGCTTTAATTGGTTCCCGGGCACAATTTAAAGTGCTACATATTTTAAGCATGGCCTTTCCCAGTAAAATTTTATTTAAAACATGTTATCTTCATCAAAGGCTTTATTACTTTATTTAGAATGTTTGGAATACAAGACAATTATGAAACTCCATTACAGATTAGTTAAAGGAAGAAAACAGTATCTGAAGCCTCATGGTCTACATGCTTTTGTCTGAGAGAATAGACAGCATATAAAAATGATTGAAATAAACTACAACTATTAGAGGTAATAAAACATCTTGCCAAGGGTACTGAAATGTGAAGAGAATAAGTATTATATCAGTTGGGTCTACGTACTACCTTTTGTTTAACTCTTTTCTCCAAAATAAGTGTTTTGGTAATATTAGCTGTTGACAAAGATCTAAAGTCTTACAATCATTATCTGAACTGATATTAGAAGCTAGCTCTTTAATTCGCTTTTGCATGACTATGTGTTCTTTCTAACGATTTGCAATTCCTGGCTTACCTGGAAAAAGAAAAATGCTTGTCCAAACCAATAATGCATGATAGTAACTTGAGCTGCATCAAAATTTAGTGGCTTCCAGATGTAGTTTCTCATCATGGTTTGAATGAATAGGCACAAGACCAAAACTGGTAAATTATGAGGTCTGAACAAGAGAGCTGATAGCAGAACCAGCCCACTGTAGATTTCCCATAAACTTGTAAACTTGATCTTAGTACCCGTTGAAAAAAATAGAGATTTGAATAAATCTTTTGTGCCTGTGAAGATGATGCCAAGAACAAAGATGTAAACAAAACGTGCTTCGATTGTGCCCCTAAAAAGAGACAATAAAAAGACATAGTTAAATCAACTTCTGATAAGTTCAAACATTTGTTTCTGGACATAATTTGCTAAAACGCAGATAAGGCATTAGCTCAAAACAAGTAGTGGGCTTGTGCCATTAGTGATGGTAAAACTGATCATGACCGTATTATGCATACCAAGAAACAGAATTATACAATCATTTAAATGAAACAGAGTGATCAAAATAGGAAAGTGTTTAAAACTAGCACTCTGAAAAGAATGAGATTAACTCCATACATATTTATTTGAAATGAATGCAGTTAAAGCTTACTGGGCTATACTGTAAACTTGGCCAAAAAAATACACAGCACTCTCAAATAAATATGTATGAAATTAGTTTCAGAAAGCTGATCAATATTTGAAAGCTCTGCTGAATTTCTCTCAGGAACAACAGAAAAAAAATAAGTGTTAATTCAAAGGGTTTAAAAAGTAAAATATAAATCATTCTTAAGCATGCCACAGCAACATCTGCCTTCACAACATTAATGTTCTATCATATACATTCTCTCTCTCTCCTCTCTCTCTCTCTCTCTCTCTCTCTCTCATTAGCATGCACATACACACACACACACTTCTGTCCCAAAGCTCAGATTCTGTCCCAAAGCTCTTAGTTACAGTACTTTAATATTCCCTGAAACAGTTTTCTCCCACAGCAAAGAAATGGGTAGACCATTGCCTATATGAAACTGTTGCCATCATAGCTGGAGTTGTTCCCACTGCAACACAATTTAACACAATTTAATGGTCCACTTGAATGCACATTTACCAAGGAACAATTTCTACTGAACTCCACAGAATTTATTTTCAAAGAAATACTTCAGTCAGCTGCGAGGCATCAAGAGCATGGGTGTTTATAATCAGAAGTCTGAACTAATCCTCTCTGTTACACACAATTTGGGGTTCTTAAAATCCATAAAAATCACATAATCCATAAAAACCATACAGTATTAATAATAATTAATCCTACCACTTTCAAGATTTAAATAAGCCATTAACTGTATTTTGTAGCCCAAGAGTTTCTGTAATTCTTCAGATGTAAACCTCCAGTATGTGAAAGAGATCATCATCACCCAAATGTCTTTAACTACAAGCAACTGATTGAACTATATGAACTAATTATTTGGGATGCAAATATTATAAGTAAAAATATTTTATATCTGAGGTGCCCGGTTTATTCATGTGTGCTACTATCTTCCCAATAAAAAGCAGAAAGATTAGAAAAGCTCTTCATTTCCCCCCATTCAACAATTGGACAGCCCTTTCTACAGAGTACAGACTTATAAGTCAATCAAAAATCGTAGTAGATTCCTTCAAATGCCTCAAGAAGGGTCAAAAGAACTTAAAATAAAAGGAGAATGTGATAGACTAATTCCCCCTATTCACTAGCCTTTGAGCAGAATGGGGACTTTGCATGCAACAAGGATGCATCAAAGACTTGAGTTGAGGACATCGATCTTGAAAGAACAACATGATATTCACAATTGGCTGCTCCCAAAATATTGGCAAGAAATGTAAGGAACTCCAAAACAAAACAAACAAACAAACAAACAAAACCCCAAACCTACTAAGTTCTTAAATATAAGGTGACCAACCATCCTCCTTTAGGGAGGACAGTCCTCCTTTTGTAAGTTCTGTCCTCTCTCAAAGTGTCCTCCTACATGTTCTCCTTTTCGATATTTGAAGATTAATCTGTAAATCTCCATATTTGATCGATGCCGAGCCGATCCATTGTGTGTGATGTGACGTATTTGTATTTGACATGACAATTCATCAAGGCTCGGTACAGTGCGGTGAGACGCGATTATGAGATGCATGCGCTCCACACAGGAGAATTGTTTTGAGAGAGTGTGCTGCGCGCAAGTGGCTTTGTTTTTCTTCTTCAATTTATTTGTGTCCTCCTTTTCATTGTAAAAAAGTTGCTCACCTTATTAAATAGCAATTTTAAATGTTCTGGAAAATCCTAAGAGCAACTAGTCTTTCTTCTCTCTTGTATCTTTCCTACCACGATAAGGAGAAAGAAATTGAGATTTATATTTTTAGTTTAAAGACTTTTCCTTGTATATCATGGGTCATCTATTTTTCTTCATCTAAATGCATATACTCCATTATTCCCTCAATTTATGTGAATATTCCTCCTGTGGTAATTAACTTCCTACCTATCTATCACTTAAGCATCAATGATGTGAGGGACATGTGTGAAACTGCTACACAGAGTGAGATGAAGAGTCTAAAATGGGTGGCAATATAAATCTTTTAAATAAATGAATAAATCAAAATAAACGGCTTTTTTTTACATGCAAATGTTTTTCTGTTGCCAGCTTCCACTGATATTCTTCCTCTCTGTGCTGTTTTTCATCATTATGTTTTTTTCCCTTAAATCAGTGGTTTTATATACTCTTCTGTATCAATGTTTTAATGGATGCCACTAATCAGGAATAGTGTAACGGTAGGTTTTCTGCATTGAAGTTAATTCAGTGAAGAATTTAAAGACAGAATCGCTGCAAGAAAAATAGTCTTGGCCAAATCCATCCAACATCAATCATCACTTAAAAGCAGGTCTCCAATTCACTATTTTTTTTCTTTTCATGCGCAACCCTCATAAAATAATTAACTGCCCTAAATCTCATCAGCTTCAAACTGACACTCTGCCTAGAGATCACCATAATTGCTTATGGCATAAGCTCTTATTGGATTAGAATCACCTTCATTAAATGCAAGAAATAGACTCTAGTAAATCTTAATGGCTTAATCTCAGATGCTGGTAAAACTTTAAATCATCATCATCACCATTATCCTCATCATCTTCATCATATCATCATCAATTTCCTTTCCTTGCCTGCATCTTTACCTTAATCCAGCTCATTTAAACAGAACAATTGGAATTTCTTTTCAGAATTCTGAGCTGCGGGGGAGGGGAGGATGGAAAATAAAAATCTAGACAACTACTGCTGCAACCCACATTATAGATTGTTACACAAGGGGAATGGAGATATTAATTAACAGTTGCAGTCTATGTCCATATGTGTCCCAAATACAAATTTATTCATTAAGTACATTGCTATAGAATCTTGCAGTGAAGCATATGTTACAAGAAAATGTTATGACCTGAAAGTTAACAGATTTGTTACAGGCTAATAGTGGCCTATAGAAGAGTTGACACCACGAATTTTCTAATCTTGGCTTCTCTTCAAACACCAACCTAGCTGCCAAAGATAATTAATAATCCTCTGAATGGAACAAAGTGACCCAACAATATGTTTTTTTATCCTGATTGGTGGTGATTTTCTAAGATCATCAGGAAATATCTTAACATTTCTACAGTTCGTGCAAAAGTTCATTTATTTCAGTAATGCAACTTAAAAGGTGAAACTAATGAGATAGACTCATTACATGCAAAGCAAAATAGTTCAAGCCATGATTTGTCATAATTGTGATGATTATGGCTTACAGCTCATGAAAACCCCAAATCCACAATCTCAGAAAATTAGAATATTACATGCAATCAATAAAACAAGGATTGTACATAGAACAATATCGGACCTCTGAAAAGTAGAAGCATGCATATGTACTCAGTACTTGGTTTGAGCCCCTTTTGCAGCAATTACTGCCTCAATGCGGCGTGGCATGGAAACTATCAGCCTGTGGCACTGCTGGTGTTATGGAAGACCAGGATGCTTCAATAGCGGCCTTCAGCTCTTCTGCATTGTTCAGTCTCATGTCTTTCATCTTTCTCTTGGCATTGCCCCTATGGGGCAATGCCCCATAGATTCTCTATGGGGTTCAAGTCAGGTGAGTTTGCTGGCCAATCAAGCACAGTAATCCCATGGTCATTGAACCAGGTTTTGGTGCTTTTGGTAGTGAGGGCAGGTGCCAAGTCCTGCTGGAAAATAAAGTCAGCATCCCCATAAAGCTCATCTGCAAAAGGAAGCATGAAGTGCTCCAAAATCTCCTGGTAGATGGCTGCGTTGACCCTGGACTTAATGAAGCACAGTGGACCAACACCAGCAGATGACATGGCTCCCCAAATCAACACAGATTGTGGAAACTTCACACTGGACTTCAAGCATCTTGCAGCATGTGCCTCTCCATTCTTCCTCCAGACTCTGGGTCCTTGGTTTCCAAATGAGATGCAAAAGTTGCTCTCATCAGAAAAGAGGACTTTGGACCACTGAGCAACAGATCAATTCTGTTGTTCTTTAGCCCAGGTAAGACCCTTCTGACATTGTTTGTTGTTCAGGAGTGGCTTGACAAGAGGAATACGACATTTGAAGCCCATGTCCAGGCTCCGTCTGTGTGTGGTGGCTCTTGATGCACTGACTCCAGCCTCAGTCCACTCCTTGTGAAAGTCGCCAACACTTTTGAATGGCCTTTTTCTGACAATCCTCTCCAGGCTGCGGTCATCCCTGCTGCTTGTGCACCTTTTTCTTCCACACTTTTCCCTTCCACAGCACTTTGGGAACATCCAACTTCTTTTGCAATTATCTTTTGAGGCTTTCCCTCCTTATGGTGGTTTTCTGCACAACTGTCAGGTCAGCGGTCTTTCCCATGATTGTGCTTCCTACTGAACCAGACTGAGAGACCATTTAAAGGCTCAGAAACCCTTTGCAGGTGTTATGGCTTAATTAGCTGATTAGAGTGGGACACTTTGAGTCTAGAATATTGAACCTTTTCAAAATATTCTAATTTTCTGAGATTGTGGATTTGAGGTTTTCATGAGCTGTAAGCCATAATCATCACAATTATGGCAAATCACGCTTGAACTATCTTGCTTTGCATGTAATGAGTCTATCTCATATATTAGTTTCACCTTTTAAGTTGCATTATTGAAATAAATGAACTTTTGCACGATATTCTAATTTTTCGAGTTTCACCTGTATGTATTTTTAAGAAGAAAACTGAAAAACTACCCCTTAATCGAAGAACAACAATTTAAATGACTCACAATATTCAAAAACTAGAAGTGGGATGTTTTCTGAGATTTTATATGTTGCATTTGGCAATGGATGAGACCTCTGATCCTACTTGAACTGTGTTATAGAAATCTATGTATATAATATACAGCCTCTTACAGGCCACATCTTTCAAAAGGATAGGGTGACAGTATTTTCCATCCTTTCTTGTTAAGTGCTGCTTTATCCATTTACAATGCAAGCAGGTCCATTGATGAACAGGCATCATTAAAAATTATGAACAAGTCACAAGCACAGTGCACATCTCACATTCTTTCTGTTCAACCTCCCACTTGGGCCACAGGCACTGGAGCAAAACTATGCCAGCTTTGCATATCAAGCAAGGATTAGAAAGAAAAAGATTTGCTATTTGAATTTCATTTCAGTGCTTTACAAAGCACAGGCTGAAAAAAGTATTATTCAGCTGGCGCCATAAATCAAGCAACCATAAATTACAATTTCAGGATAAATATCTACTCTATTTTCATTCTAAAAAAATACTAGGATTCTAACCCAGTGCTATGCTCAAGAACACTTCCAGCCTGAAATCACAAATAGTTTACTGATCAAAGCAACCGCTTTGATGAACTTTTAAGAAGGCATATTATTATGTCAGCTCAGAAACCTTAAACTACATGCATCTGTGAACTATTATTCAGGCAATGGAAATGTTATGCTAGCAGTTATAAGGATGAAAGAGTAACATTCAGAGATACCTTTATAAATATCAAAAGATATTTAATTCCTGCCAATCTTTTCTCAGAGAACAATTAGCTGTAAACTCATGAAAACTTTAGGAAAATGTTTTCCCAAACTTTTTTTCCCAGGTATACCTACCATTGCCCTCTAATATTTAATTAGTTGCCTATAACAAACAACAAATAATCTGCAGGTATTTGCACATGTTTATATGCACATGATACTCTACTGTTTCTCAACCTTTTTTCACTTGGGTTTCCTTCTGACCTGTTTTTCTCCTGTGGGACCCCTGTCCAGGTCCCATTACTGGATATGAACATGGGACAGGAATTGTGTTTTCGGGCATCCATGGGACAGAATTTGCAATGTAATAGAATTGGTGCTGTAGAACCTGAGGACAAATGAAAGAGGAATGCTGCTAAACTGATCGCATAAGTTCTCAAAAATATTTGGCCACTGGTGGGAACAGCATGCTTGATTTGATCCATAAGGTCCATCGCAATTTTAGCTGCTTATCTGCAGCATTCCCTGTCTTCTATCTTGCCTGTTTTGATCTATGATGGAGTGAGGAAAGAACGATAACAGATTTTTTGCAATTTATTTATTATATTAATTTAGAGTGCAATTTTGTAGTGTTGCTTGGATTGGAGGGATTATAATAGGAAAATGAAGTAAAGAGAGAATTAAAGTAGAAATGGAGAGTTTGTATCTTAGAGCTGAACTGGAATGGGATGATCTTGCTACGGAAATTTATATTCTTGTCATGTCAAGAGCAAACAACAAAACTAAAAGTTTTTTCTCATCCAGAGGAATTTAAGGTGCAGCACTTATGGTATAAAACCTACCCTAACCATGTTCCCCCGCATATTCTCCTTGGGAATAGAATCTAAAAATTTCTGCCATGCCCACTCTGAAGATATTTGATTTCCATCCTGATCCTCTGCAGCCCACAGGAATGATGCAACAAAAAAATCTATTGGTAGCCAAGAAAGAAAATACTTCATATTTGGTTTTGTGAGCCACCCAGAGGCAGTGCCTAAATCCATGAAATGAATAAATAATTGCAGCAGCATAAGAAATCCCTCTGGCTTGCCTAAAATAAACTGCTAAAATGAGGAAAAACCTGAGTTACCCAGGAACAGAAGGACCGTTCTATTGTAATATACAAAACAAATTCCTAAGATCAAAACTCTCTAATTTTAAGTGTGCATCTTTTGCATCAACACTTCACTGGCAGATTCCAGGGTTCTTGTCAAAACAGTGTAAACCCCTCAAACCTAAAATCTGCCCACAACTCTTAGAAAACACGTGCCCAAACCCACATAGTACTTGTTTGTGATATTTCTTTTAGACCTCAAGGTGTTAAGTACGTTTACATAGCTGCTAATGAACTTACTTTGAAATATCTTTTCTGTCTCGTTGCCATGGAAATTCCACATTTCCTATTGCTGCCCGGTAACTGTACACTCCCAAGAGTCCAAGTGCCATTGCTATTTTCGAAACCAAAGAACATCTTTGATGAACAAGTATAAAGATCATAACTAGAGATACTGATGCCAGAAGAGAGAGTTCAGCTTTATGTTCGGAGCTGTAAAATCAACAACAAATTCAATTAGACTTTTTTTTTATCAGATTCACTTGCAAGTTTTTTTTTCTCTCTCTCTTTTTCCTAACAAGCTTCACTTCATTCATCAATCAGAAAACCATCAGTCTTTTCTCACATCAGTTTTTTGTAAACTCTTTATGTAGCATTTAATCAGCATCAAAATATCAGACATTTTACAACCTTACACAAGGCATCAAATAATTTTCTATGTTACCACTCTAGAGCCTTCATATCCTTTGTAAAGACCTTTAACTGAATAGTGCGATGATTTCATTTCATTTACTTTTTGCAGAGGTCTTTCAAGCTTCTCATTTCCAGTGAGCATTTTCCATATTGCTTTTGACTGTCAGAAGCCTAAAGAGTCTAGAATATTTTCTTTCAAAAGAATTGGAATCCAAGTCTTCCAGGTAAGGCTTCTCCATTTGCTCATATAATAAAATGGGCTTGGGGGCCATCTTCATTAAAGTTAATAGGACGCTAAGTACAGGAAGCCATCTCACTTGTGGCCATACTTGTTGAATTCTCCCAGGTATATACAGTGCTGTTTTAGGTGCTAGGCAAAGCTTAAATAAATTTGAAGACACTGATATATTTTTATAAATCACTACATGGTGGCACAGTGGTTAGAATGCAATACTGCTGGCTAACTCATTGCTCACTACAGGAGTTTGGTTCTGAGTGGCTCATGGTTGTCTCAGCCTTCCATCCTTCCGGGGTTGGTAAAATGTGGACCCAAATTGTCAGGGGCAATATGCTGACTCTGTAAAGTGCTTAGAGCGGGCTGTAAAGTCCTGTGAAGCAATATGTAAGTCTAAGTGCTATTGCTATTTCTGCAAGCAAATCTGACTTGTTCTCATTGGTTACACTTGTTGTAATAATCACTTTTATAATTCTGGGGGAAAAAATACACACGCTTTCCCATTCTAGAAAAAAAAATTAAAGAGGAAATTGGCACAAAAATCTATTAGCCTGGACTTCCGGTTTGAGCTTTTTCAGCGACAGATCGAAACCTGGTCTCTGCGAGGCTTCGATCCGTGCTCGCCGCTGGAGCGCCCCGAGCCGGCTGGTTTCGGGGCTAAGCCACCCCGTAGAGGTGGTGAAGAGGGGGGAGACTGCCAGCAGGGTTGAGAAGAGCAGCATCTCTCCTCCCCGGCTGGCCATTACTCCCTTTCCCGAAGGCAGTTGCAGAAGTGGTCAGAAATGGCCACCACAAAGAAGAACTCGACCGGAAAAGAATGTGCAGGAGGAAGATAAGAAGAGAAAGTTTTGGTTGACTGGGTCAAACAGCAAAAGCAACAAATAAGGTACCCTGGAATTGAAACTGTTAAAAAACAATAACATTGTTCCCTAAGAAGATTTTTAAACTGCGAAGGAGAGAGAAAAGGGAAAAGATTTGGTTTTCTCCTTTTCCTATACTGACAGCTAAGAGACTTAAGCAACAAATTGGAAAAATATCCACTTTGACATCAATAGGCATTTAATGCTGAAAATAAAAAGTCAAAGGGATAATAAAGATTTCTGGATAATTAAAAGGTTTTGAAAACAGGAAAGGAGAGAAAAAGAATAAAAGGGCAGGATCTGGAAGGGAGGAGACTGCCTGGAATTAAAAAAGAACTTACAGCAAAATCTCAACAAGACTTCCAAAAGATACATTCTAACTGAAATATCTCAACAAAAACCCCAGGAAGAGAAAGTCGAAAAAGAAGTAAGAAGATATAACTTGGGACTATTTGGATTACTTGATGATTTCTGGATTTTTGGTTATTGTATTTGAATGACTAAAATCAATCGGGTGGTTGTTTAAAACTGTTTAATATGGCTCCACTTTTAGAAGAACTGAAAATGGAACTTAAAAAATACAAAGAAGATGCACAAGAAGGGAGAGGTTCTTTTGGCTTCGTATTTCAGTTTTTAGAAATGGAGATTTGGAATTATGAGAAACAACAAGAAATGCCTGCAGAACAAGAAGATTGCGACAAAGAAGAAGCCATCTTTAATGAACAAGTAATCTTAGATGGGGGGAAAAAAGGAAAGGGGGGAAAGAGAATGGAAAATTTAAGATTGGGAAAAACAACTCCAAAAAAAAAATAGAGTGAAAAATAAGTATAAAATCAGAAAGCAACAGAAGAGGGAAATGCAGAAGAGAGAATTAGAACTAGAGAGACAAGGGGGCAAAAAGGGGAGGGAGAAGATGAGAGGGAAGAAAGAAAGGAAAAGAAGTTATAAAGGACAGAAGCAAAATATAGAGAAACAGGGCCTATTTAGAGATAATGGGTGAAAACTTAATAGAAAAAGGGATTCTGCAAAGGTACATAAGATAGTATAGTTATATTAGAAGCAGAAATAATTTTAGAAAATATGAAACAATGTATAATTAAAATGTCTGATAAAATAGCTATCGTAATTCAGTGGAATGCTTGTTAATAAATAAATGTAACAAAAGGTATATTTAATGATTTATAAAACATATGTGAAGAGAAATAAGGGAAAAATTAATTATGGAGATTATATGTGTTTTTAAGGAAGTATAATATGTAATTCAAAAGAAGTGTTAAAGATGTTAAGATTTTAATGATTATTAATGATAGAACTGAACTGGAATGGAATGAGGGTTTATAATTACATATATTTACAATCTTTCTTTTTTTAAAAAAAGAATATAGTGTGTATTATAAGAATGTACCAAGCAGAATTCGATTGGAAGTTATGTATTATGTATTATATTGAAGGTCATAAACTTATATAAATATTGAAGTTAAAATAAGAGTTGAATGGATGTAATTAAAAGATATAAAGGTGTCATACTCCAATTAGTAACTACAGGAGAAAATTTGTTTAATGAGAAAAGATAACATGAAATTGAAACAGAACAGACAAAAGCATAAATATAATGATTTGAATTGAGATGAGATAATCAAAATAAAATTGAGAAAATTAAAAGAGGGGAAAAACTATATAGAAAATGTAAAATAGTATAAGATATGGAATACAAAAAGGAGCATGAAATTGAGTTTTGTGTCTGTATAAAGAAATTCAACCCGGGACCATGCTATTTTCAAAAAAGATGTTTTACTTGTATTTTGTGTGTGAAAACCCAAATAAAACTTTATTTAAAAAAAAATTCTTTTAGCCTAAGTAGATCAGTAATATGGAACCAATTGCATCGTGTAAAGGATTATGGGGCATATTATAGGATACATAATGCCCAGACTCTTGGTACTATGCCACTGTGGTCTAGTAAAATACCTAAAGGTGTGGTTGCAAGTTCAGGTCGGTGAAGAAGGCTCATAAATGGCAGGGAAATTGTCTTTCAAGAAACTTTTCTCACCTTCTCGATCTCACTGAGGAACTCCTGGCAAAGGGAAAATACCACGGCATTCTAAGTGGTAACTATGTTGATCTGGAAGAGCACTCTAGAAATAATTTCCCTAAAAACCTTAAGATGAAAATTTAGTGTAAAAAGGGGAATATCCTTCTATCTTTAAAACTGATCCTTGGGATCAGAAAAAAGATTTTCTACTGATACTGGGACCAGAAAAAGGGGGCCCAGTAGTACTTTTCTTGTCAGACCTTGCCAGAAAATTTAGTAGGTATTTTAGAACCATTCTCCTGAAACCGTTGCATCAATCTTCTCTTCTACGTGGCAATCAGATCATGCAACTTCTTGCCTCTCAGAAAAAAAAAAAAAACATTGATTACTTTCTTAACAAGCCTAAACCTGATACATTAACACAATCCTGTATTTTTTCCGGATTCCACATATAACACAGTCGGGCACAAGCTTAACTCTGCTCTCGGCTTCCAGAGAAATCTCACATTTTACCTTTTTTGGGGGGCGCTGGTGGTAAGGAGAGGTTGTCTGTTTTTATAAAACAAAATGCCTTCCAAGGCTTTATAATTGCCAAAAATGTGTGATCAATATCTGACAAAATCTAGGAAGACAGTTTCAGCTCCTGGCTCCTTTCAACAAGCATCAGCAGTGCAAACAAAGCAAAACAATGCAAACGGATTCTTTAAAAGACAGTTTATAAAAAGCAACATAATTTTGCTTTTTGCGTCATAGCAGTTGGGTTGCCTTGGTGCTTGGTTCTCATTTTATTTTTAGCACAGAGCACACACAGCTTTGAGTCATGGGGGTTCTAGCAACACCTCTCCCTCCCTCGCCCCCCCCCCCCCCCAAAACACACACAGACACTGCAAGGCCTGCAGGAATCATAGACTTATCTAACCCGTTGGTGTGTTTCCACACAGGGCTAGCAGCATACTCAAGGGAGTAAATCATGTTTGCTCTAAAGCACACTATACCACCAGAACAAATGAGCTGCTGAAACATTCTGGTTAAGGAGCTGGAATGTTATGTCACACTTGAACATCTCCGTGGGGAAAAGACATATAATCAGGTAGAAAGGGAAGCTTTAGCAACGAATGCAAAGATTAATTAGTCCATGTTATCGGACTAAGAAATGAAAAAGTTTTAATTGATCCTGACCCGAACCCCAATTCAACTACTTCTCCTCCACAGAGGTTCTTTTAGCACCTGCTGGTAAAGATAGAAATAGTAGGGAAAGAAAGGAGAGACCAGAATAACCTCATACATTGAGTAAGAAAGCAACTGCCTCTTGGGTTATGCTTTCCTTCGTCTTGCAAAAGAAATATCTGCTTGCACTTCAGCCTCAGAACAATTGAAACAGTCTACTAGCCAATCCCTATGGTGATCAGGGTGATGGGTTTGGGTGATGGGTATTTTAGTCTGACCCATATTTAGAAGGCATTCAGTTGAGGAAAGTCCAATTTATTTTAAATCATTGCTCAGCTGGATGATTATTATCCTCTACTGGTGTTTTTTTTGTTCCCTCCCTTCAGATGCTCAATAACCCAAAACACAGTGCAGGGAAGGAGACACAGAGGGGGAAAAAAACCAGATGCAATATTCATATGTGCAAATCTTGTTCAAGATTTTCGGGCTAAAGCAGAATATGCCAAATAAATAAATAAATAAATAAATAAATAAATAAATAAATAAATAAATAAATAAATAAATCCTATTTTTTATTTAAGAAACAAGGGAAGAAATATACCAAAGCACGGTATAATTAATACATGTTGCAAATGCTTTTTAAAAAGAAACTTATAACCAGAGAATTAAGAACCCTCCTAGCCAGATCTTGTAGTTAAAATTATTAATAGTTTCAAGTTGTGCTTTCTCTTCCCACTTATTTGAAAGATTTCTACAGTTTGCTGTAGGAACTGGGATTTTTTTGTTAAATCATTAAAATGTATCATTGATAGATTCATACATAGGTAAGATATATGATAACTAGATAACTAGATGATTGATATATAAAGATAGATAATGATAGATATAGATATTGATATTCATAGATAATTGATAGCTATAGGAACTACTGATATTTTTGTTAAATCATTATAATGTATCATAGATAGATAGATAGATAGATAGACAGACAGATATAGAGAAATTATATAGATATTGATTAATATTCATAGATGATTGATAGCTATAGGAATTACTGATTTTTTTGTTAAATTGTTATGTATTATTGATAGATTCATGGATGGAGGGAGGGATGATGGATGGGAGGGAGGGAGGGATGGATGGGAGGGAGGGATGGATGGACAAACAGACACCTTGCTGCTGAAACCTAAAGGCATGGGGGAATTCTGATATTAGAAAGAAACCTGCCTAACCTCTGGTGAAATGAGATTCCATAACCAAAGCAGCACAACTAAGAAAGTCCTTTCCTGCATCACTCCACTGGTGGCATACAGAGAAAAGCCCCTCAGTATATCTGTTATTTATCAAATTTATATGGCCACCACCTCACAAAAAAGGGACTCTGGGCCACATATAACAAGGCTAAAACTCAATTAATATATACTATATATAAAACACAATTATTATTATTATTAAAAGCATTTTAAAATGTTTAAAAACGCAAGGGGTAAAAGAGACCAAATATTAGGCAAGGAGCAGATATCAATAGCAAGGGAACCTCTTCAGTATCTCGCTAGTGCTCCTCTAGGGTCCTCAGGTCTGATGGGACAATCGTTTTATGAGGGACTATGCACTTAGGTACTAGACCTTAAGCAATCTAAATAACAAAAACTCAAATAGGTACCTTGTCAGCCAATGTCCAAAATCTGGCCTATGGGCCCACTGGACTCCAGTTTGATTCAACGAACGGAGCACTCTACAGATGATAAGGATGAGCCACGGAGTCGCTAAGGCCATCCACTTCTCAAAGGTATTCACGCTTACCGGATCGTCCCCTCTGCCCATCTTCAGCTCATCCTCTGTTATTTCAACATCACTTCTGTAGTGGGGAGGAGTTTCTTTCATTTCTTCTGCCTTTGCCTTGTTCGTGGTGGGGATCTGCAGATCACCGTCCTTGGTCAAGAAATAGTGCCTGCAGATTTCTTGGCAGAGGGCAAGGCAAAGGGTATTGATCAGGAAGTACCAGGTTTGGTGTTCTTCTTCGATAAAGCTGCTGGCACCCAGACTTGAAATATGGCCAATGGTGCCTGCCAGGATCAGCACATCTAATTCAGACCAACTAGAAGGAGCAGCAGCTGGATTCTGCAAGAAGAGAGGGAAAATATACAGTATATAGATATATATCTTGAGGATATAATTTGGAAGAATCCAACATATCATTAGAATTGGCAGCATAGAGTTGCTTCTTTGGTGACAACTGTACTTTTGTTATATTTTATGTTAACTCCTCTTCAATCCTGATCTAAAGCAAGGTTAATTCAGCATTGCTGTCAACACTGTTAATTGTGCCATTGAAACTACAGCACATTATTTTTCAAGGGCTGTGATGCAGCTTCCTGCAATGACTGATGAAACATTTGTAAGGTAGATTAGTTTCACATCAGGATAAGAAACGAATCAGATGAAAATGAAAAGAGCAAAATTTAGCAATCAGAACATTCTAAAGATAAGTCGAGATCTCTTCTTGCCTGTTCCATTTCCAACATGGTCGAATGTTTGAGGAAAAAAATACATCACTCCCATGGAGGGATGAGGTACACTGCTGAAATTGGATAACCAAGTGGACATTACACAGGTGCTTTTTCAAAAAGGAACTGGACTTTCTTGGGGTTCTTTTCTTTGAAAATGTTTCTCTTCTCATTCAAGAAGCTTCTTCAGCTGTGAAGAAGAACAGAAGAAGCTTCTTGGATGTGAAGCGAAACATTTTCAAAGAAAAAAAACCAAGAAAGTCCAGTTGTCTTTTGGAAAAGCACTTTTGGGACAATAATGACCTGGATGATTGAAAATCACCATAGAAAACAAAAGTGGATATTTTTTATTGCACAATTTTTGTTTGAGGTTGGGTATTTGAGGATATCTTAAGGCTAAAAGCAAAATATTTCCACTTCCACTCTTAACCACAAGTCCCCAAAATGAGAAAAACAATAGGCTAAAAATTCTCAGCCCCTTCCAATACCATTACCATATCCTTAGAAAGCTAGGACTAGCCGCAACTCCCACCCCAGGAGAAGTTGATGACCTTGACGTAGATTAACAGCAATCATAAAAAGAATCATGATGTGCAGGTTATTATTTTGTCCCTCCTGAAACTGTGGCTTTATTTAAACAAAAGTGTTGTGCAAGGTTGCCACAAAAAATAGACATTTTATATGCTAATCACCCTAGACTAGAGCATTGGACACACTGATTTAAAGAAAGCTAACCCCTTCAAAAAAAACCTTGGTGCACCATCTTCAACAAATTGAAATACACTTTGTTGCACAAAAAACATGACGCCTCAGGTAAAAGGCAATCAAGTAAAGGAAAAATGTAATCAAGTAAGTTACAAGTAATAGCATCTGAGGAATAATATGTTTCAAACTATAAAGATAATCAGAAATGATCCAGAAAGAGTATTTTGTCACTTCAAACATCAGCATTATTCCACAGAAAATCAGGCAGCTCATTTCAAGAAGATTTAATTATATCAAAGCACCTTGATGTAGATATTGAAAATAGAAGGTTTGGAGGATAAACCAATCACCCAGAGGCATTAAGCTACAATCAATTACACAAAGATCTCTATGGCAAATTGAAAGAAAAAAAGGACAAGTACAAAAAATGGAAAGAAGGACATACAACTAAGGCAGAATATCAGCAGATAGCCAGAATCTGAAAAGACGAAGTCAGGATAGCAAAGGCTCACAACGAACAAAAACTTGCAACAAAAGTCAAAGATAATAAAAAAAAAGTTTCTTCCAACATATAAATAACAAGAAAAAAATCAAGGAAACAGCCGGTCCACTAAAGAGAGAAGATGGCAAGGAAGCAACAGGCAACAGAGAGAAAGCAGAACTGCTTAACTCATTCTTTGTATCGGTCTTCACGCAAAAAGAAACTATAGCTCAACCCACCAAAAACATAACTATAAAAGACAGACCAGAAATAAAAGTTAAAATCAGCAAAAAAAATAGTAAGAGAACACCTGTCTGATCTTGATGAAAACAAATCACCGGGGCCTGATGGATTACATCCCAGAGTTTAAAAGGAGCTGGCAGAGGTCATCTCAGAACCACTGAACCATATCTTTCAAAAATCCTGGAGCACCAGAGAACTACCAGAGGACTGGAAAAGAGCTGATGTGGTTCCCATCTTCAAAAAAGGAAAAAAAACAGACCCAGGAAACTATGGACCAATCAGCCTAACATCAATACCCGGGAAGATACTGGAAAAGATAATAAAAAAACAGATCTGCCAACATCTAGAAACAAGTAAAGTAATAACTAGCAGTCAGCACAGGTTTGTTAAAAATAGATCATGCCAAACCAATCTTATTTCATTCTTCAACACAGTGTCTAAATTATTATACCAGCAAAATACTGTGGACATAATATACCGTATATGCCGGCGTATAAGACGACCCGGCGTATAAGACGACCCCCCAACATTTCCACTCAAAATATAGTTTGTTATATACTCGCCCCCTCTTCCGCACGCCTTCCACTTTTGCACTTTTTTTTTTTGAGGCACTTTTGCGCACCGTGGAAACGAATCCCGTGAAGCCGAAAGGAGCAGCCAGCCTTCTCCCAGCTCCCAAGGAAACGAGGCTCGCACCGCCCGGGCTCCGCTGAGGTATCCGGCTGGGGCTGTCAGGAGTTGTTGCCGCTGGCACGGCTCCGCACGGCTCCAGTCCCGCGTTGCCTCGGGAAGGGAAAGGCAAAAAGGAAGAGCCGCGGCGGCGCTTTGCAATGGCAGCAGCGGCTCCTGGTTTTGCCTTTCCCTTCCCGAGGCAACGCGGGACTGGAGCTGCGCGGAGCCGTGCCAGCGCTAACAACTCCTGACAGCCCCAGCCGGATACCTCAGCGGAGCTCGGGCGGTGCGAGCCTCGTTTCCTTGGGAGCTGGGAGAAGGCTGGCTGCTCCTTTCGGCTTCACGGGATTCGTTTCCACGGTGCGCAAAAGTGCCTCAGCCGCGGGCAGCCGCAGTGCTTCCCAATTACTATTTGCCGGCGTATAAGACGACCCGGCATATAAGACGACCCCCCCAATTGGAGGCATGTTTTTCAGGGCAAAAAAGTCATCTTATACGCCGGCAAATACGGTATTTAGATTTCAGCAAGGCATTCGATAAAGTAGACCACAACCTACTTCTTAGTAAGCTAGAAAAAAGTGGAATAGATAGCACCACCACTAGATGGATTCGCAACTGGCTGGCAAACCATACTCAACGAGTAATCCTTAATGGGACTAAGTCTACATGGAGGGAAGTAAGCAGTGGGGTGCCACAAGGTTCCGTCTTAGGCCCAGTACTCTTCAATATCTTCATTAACAACTTAGATGAGGGAATAGAAGGGGAACTTACCAAATTTGCAGATGATACTAAGCTGTCAGGAATAGCTAACACCCAAGAAGATTGGCTCAAGATCCAGATGGATCTTGACAGACTAGAACACTGGGCCATATCTAATAAAATGAAATTCAATATAGAAAAAAGTAAAGTCCTACACTTAGGCAAGAAAAACCAAAAGTACATAGAAAAAGTATACAAAAGTATACAGACTGGGTGAAACCAGGCTCAATAGCAGTAACTGTGAGAGGGATCTTGGAGTCTTAGTGGACCAGGTAAATATGAGCCAGCAGTGTGCAGCCGCCGCCAAAAAAGCTAATGCAATCCTAAGTTGTATTAACAGAGGGATAAAGTCAAGATCAAGGGAAGTACTAATACCACTCTACAAAGCCTTAGTAAGGCCACACCTAGAGTACCGCATCCAGTTTTGGTCACTACATTATAAAAAAGATGTTGAGACTCTAGAAAAAGTACAGAGAAGAGCAACCAGGATGATTAGGGGACTGGAGGCTAAAACATACAACGAACGGTTGCAGGAACTGGGCTTGGCTAGTCTAGTAAAGAGAAGGACCAGGGAAGACATGATAGCGGCCTTCCAATATTTGAGGGGCTGCCACAGGGAGGAAGGAGTCAAGCTATTTTCTAAAGCACCTGTATGCCAGACAAGGAATAATGGATGGAAACTGAACAAGGAGAGATTTAACCTGGAAATAAGGAGAAACTTTCTGACAGTGAGAACAATCAACCAATGGAACAGCTTGCCCACGGAAGTTGTGGGAGCGCCATCACTTGAGACTTTCAAGAAGAGATTGGACTGCCGTTTGTCAGAAATGGTGTAGGGTCTCCCGCTTGGGCGGGGGGTTGGACTAGATGACCTACAAGGTCCCTTCCAACTCTGATTATCTGTATCTGTATCAATCAAAACTGGAGTGGCTAAACTGGCATAGGATGCGGCAGCAAGGGAAAGAAAGGGAAAGCAGGATGCTTTTATGGCATGTTAAATTTTTCAACTTTCAATTTCCAAATATTAGGGATGCTCAAAAGTTGTGACGTGTCTTGGGGATTGTAAAGATATTTTGGTTACTTTAATATAATTTAGATGTGTTTGGTAAGTAACTACATAAATATCCTAACTTTTTAACATTTTGTTTGTTTTATTTATACTGGTTACACATGAGACAGAAAACAAGTTCCTTATCAAACAACAATTGTGTGGTGTTAAAAGTTCCTTGTTGTTGTTTGTTGAGATTTTCTGAGGTAGCTGAAAAACCTATGGATGAGTTCAGCAGACACACACTCAGTTGTGCCATTAACATTGGTTGTTTCCAAAATGGCTTCTTTGAGAGCTCTAATGAAGTATCTGAGATGCAGGAATACTTTGATCCTCATCTTAAGATCTGATGTCAAACTCAAACTCAAACTCAAATTCATTCTTTTGTACGTTTGTCCTACGTAGAATTCATAACAGCACTTCTGGCAGATTGTGACACGTATCACATTAGAGGAACGACGTGTGAAGATGCTTCTAATTTTATGCGTAAAGTTGTTAGGCCTATGATAATGCTGTTGATGTAAATGTGGGGGCAGCGTAGACATCTTGGTTCGGTTCCCATTTTAGAATCATTGTCTGTTGTTGCTTGTGAGAATCTGCTTCAAATTGAGTGGTAGTCTGTGTTAAAGTACTGGGCTGCCACCCAGTTCTAAGAAAGCACAGTGTCTTTATCTTGTATGTGCTGTAGCTTCTTCCTAATGTGTTTTATGACCTGTGGTCTACAAGTGACTATCAATGGTATTCTTTTGTTCTGTTTCTATGTGTCTTTTAATAGGCCCTTTCTGGAAAGTGATCTAACTCTGCTTATTTTCTATTGATCTCATGGATTGGCCATTTAGATGCCATTAATTCCATCAGTTGATCATATGGCAGATTTGATTATATGTCTTGAATGGAAGTTGGAAGTATGTAGGTAAACATGGTGATCTGGAGGTTGGGTGGCCTCAGAGCTAACCTCCAAGATGCTGGTTGATCATTTCCCACTGGTACCATGCCTGATGATTCAACAGCCACTGAATCCAATACCAATATCTGCTCAGGCCAACACTGGTGCCAAGAAGCAGGGAAAATATCCCTGGACTGAGAACACTTCAGCAAAGTAAGCACCTCACAAGCAAATGGCAAGCTGCTGACTCTAAAAGCAAAAGCAATGCCTCATTATTGGCAACTGCTGAGTAGGGAAATGCTCTCATGAGATTCATTTCCTTGGGTCCAGATGCTAAAAGTGTCATCAATGAATCCCAGATAAAGGAGGATTTTCAATGGCTAAGAGTTGAGAAAATGTTTTAAGTGACTCATGAAGATACTTGCATATTTATGGAACCACTTGTGTATCCATGGCAGTGCTACTGATTTGCAGGTGTGTTATTGCCAACAGTGACTAAATTATGGATGAATACCAAGTCATGCAATCTGTGGCAAGGCCTGTTACACTGAGATCACTGCTGGTAATCTTGATGGCTTGAAGCCCACGTTTATGAAGGATGGGAGTATATTGTGCCATAACATCTGTTGATGTAAATGCAGGGGCAGCAATGGTATTGTTAAGAAGATTGCCAATAGATTTCAATCTTCTTAGGAAGCCTATTGTGCAGCCAGCAGCATTTGCTGAATAAATCCTCAATACAGAATTCATGAAACCCGATATTCTAAGTCATGATGATTCCAGTGCTTGGGATTGGGAATGGAATAAATTGCCTTCTAGAATTGTGAGTGCTGCGTTGCTGGAGGTTTTCAAGAACAGATTGGACATCCATTTGTCAATGATGGTACAAGGACTCCTGCCTTGGGTTAAAAGACCTCCAAAGTTCCTTCCAGCCCTGTGATTCCATTCCATCCCATCCCATCATGTCTCATTCTATCCCGTCCCATCCCATCCCCTATGCTATTTCCCTATTCCGATTCCATTTCCTATTCTTATTCCTTGAAGGTAGGTAGGTAGATAGGTAGACAAGACAGATGGTAGATGGGGCGCGTGCGTGTGTATGTATGTGTGTGCGAGAGAGAGAGAGAGAGAGAGAGAGAGACAGAGAGAAGTTAAAGTATTGCATGAGCTATTGTAAAAACAAAAAGAACCACTCATCTAGTTCAAAGAGAAAAACTATATTATTCTATATTCATTTACTATTTTGTTTAGAATAAAAACTACTTTTAGAAGTTGTTTGCTCAATTTCACATTCATTTGAAGACTAATTTATATGACAGCTACTTAGTTTTCATGCCTTTTCCCACATACATAAGAACTGGTGAAAAGCAGGCTCCAAATTTAAGACCTTGCATTCCTTTCTCCCTTTTCCTCTTATTACAGTTTTTGTAATATACTGCTTTTATATGAAATTATCTTTGAGGCAGTTTTCCATAAACCGCTTGTTAAAAACGGTACATTTCATCCAGTTAAACTACAATCTGGAAAATGCCACTTCAAAACTTATTATTTGCTCAATTATAAAATCGGATGCATGGATTAGTGGAAGAAATAGTTTTCACGCAGTGAATCTTTTTTTTCTCTCTCAAAGATTAAAAGATGCCCCTTGAAGCTCTGTGCAAGAGTCTTACCAGCAGCATCCTGAAACTAATCTTCCTGAACAATACACTTAGGCTTCGATAATTTAATCATTAAAACTAACCACATCTTACCCTTTAAGCAGCAAGCCTTCCTAGCTGTAACAAATCCAAATTCAAAATTAAGTTCAGAATATTTCTAACTTCTGAATGAGGATCGCAACCTCATTCACAAGCAGACATGTCCAGGAAATTGTTAAATATATGCAGGCAAATAAGCAGGATTTGTCAATGCACAAACTCAGCTTAGGGCGTAAGAACCGCCAAATAGCCATCCTGAATTTACAATGTATACTACACATTGTACAGTATCCTTTCAACATACTATACACTACATTTGGGAATGTATCTAGAACTGGGCATTAGACTCTGAAAGAAAAGAAGGCAATATAGGTAGTCCTTGACATATGACCACAATTGAGCCCAAAATTGATGTTGCTAAGTGAAACATTTGTTAAGTGAGTTTTTCCCCATTTTTGCCACACTTTCTTGCCACACTTATTAAGTTAGTAACATGGTTGTTAAGTGAACCTGGCTTCTCCACTGACTTTGCTTGTCAGAAGGTTGCAAAAGGGGATCACATGACCCCGGGACATTGCAAACGTCATAAATATGAACTAGTTGCCAAGCTGCCGGATTTTGATCATGTAATCAAAGGGGTGCTGCAATGATCATCAGTGTGAAAAATGGTCGTAAGTCACTTTTTTCAGTGCTGTTGTAACTTTGAACTATCACTAAATCATTATCGTCTTTTAAGGACCTCATAATCCCTTGCGGGTTTGAGCAACTGAATGGAGCTAGGGGTGTGCTTTAATGGCCAGATGCCCTTCCTGTCACCAATGTGGAGTTTTGTTCAGCAGATATATTCCCAGTGTGCCCATAAAGAGAAATATCTGCCTCTACCTAGGATCAACCTCACATCCTCCTGATCGTGGGGTGAGAGCTCCACTTCTAGGCCACTGCACCACTCTTTGAACTATCACTAAATGAACTGTTGTAAGTCAAGGACTGCCTATACACATGGCCTTTCCTATATGCTAGACTGGACGAATGTTTTGTGTAATTCAGAATGGTCCTTTTGATGTTCTTACTTTAACAAAATATGCCTCAACGATCAATGCAGTACACCAGATTGTCAAGGAAAAATAAGAACATACTGGAAAAGAATGAGTGAGTTACAAAATGGATACAAGCACGCTTTCAAAACAAGCCTTCACATTAAAAAGCTTAAGACTAAGGCCTTACTCAAATAATGAAAGTAACCTTAGAACTTAACTCACCTTTGAATCCTTACTGAAACCTATACTTTTCACAGAAACAACTTGATATGACATCTTAATATCCAACAACACAATAACTATATCTTCAAGATTATTTTCCCACTTTCTTCAAAGAGGCCAATCATTTTGAGAGATACAGATGTTGTAGAGAATTCCAAAATAATGTTTGCAAAATTACTGGGATTGGGTTCACACAAATCATATTAACAGCAAGCACATTAAATGAAGCAGCTCATTAAAATAAGAGAAATTTAGTTGGGAATTAATTCACAATTGATTTCAGTTATTCTGTTCTACCATATCACGTTGTATATAGTATGCCATGATACGAAAACAAACAGTTCAAAATCAATGTGATCAATTGAACACTTGCTTGTTTTTGTAGCAACCTGCCAATCAAATCTGCAAGATGGTTGAAGAGATTTTTTCTTAAACAAAAATTGGAATATGATTATTAAAACTGTTCTATTATTGAGGCTGTAAGTGGGATTGACATTTTTATGCATAATATGCAGGTATCCTATTATACATTAATTAATAAACATGAAGGGTCACAGATTATAGAGGAATCAAGATATAATTCAGCTCAGATTTATAAAATAATTGCAGAGAAAGCCCTGGCTGTTTTTATGTTGCATGTATAAATGCCAATTAACATTTCACCAGTGAGAAAGAATGCCTATTATCCACAATTGCAGGTTGACTGATGAGGTCACGTAACATAAGGATTATGTACAAAAATATTTTTTTAAAGGGAAAAGGTGACTACATTAGATTGCAGGGCTCAATGTTAATGTTCTAATTGCTACCATTCGCCAGGAGTTACTTTTCCCACAATTTAAAGAGAAGCCAAAGTCCTTATGATTCTGCAATAATTTGATCTGAACTGATCTACATATGTATTATTTGATCTGTAAACAACAGGCACTACAACTACTTATATTGAAATCTGAAACTGAAAACCAAGGAAGCAGGAAAAAAGTAACTTAAGACTTTGCCCTGTCGTTCAAACTTTCTCCAGCTTCTTTGTCAGAGAAAAGTGTCTGTGTTTTCTCCTTTCATAAAGGCCTAAGGAAACATGAAAAAGATATTGCGACTGACAGAAAGCAAAATGGCACAAGGAAAAATGAATAGCATGTAGATCTTCCCTGGAAAGACAAATGAGCAACAGCTAAGAAATTATATATTACATTCCAGTAATTTTTTTTTTTTTACCTTCAACGGTTGTCTTGAATTTATAACCCGCCTTTCCAGAAGGGAAATTATGACCCAAAAAAGCCCCGAAGCCAGGATGATAACTCCAGTTACCACAATCCAGGGAATGCTGCAAAAATAGCATAAACTTTCCATGGAGGTACACACAACTACATGAATGGCACTCCATAAAAGGCACATCAAGAAGAACATCAGAGAACACGTGGATGAGTTTGGCATCTGAAATTCAGCTTTGCTGCTCAGGGCTTTTGGAAGGCTCAGTAAGAGTAAGAACAGCACCTATGTGGGGGACAAAGAGAAACACAGTCAAAATCTAGTCTACAACTCAACAAGAGGCAGAGATTACACACTATCTCATATTACACGTAGGGGGCAGCCTGACCCGGTCATTTCCCTAACCATCCAGCAAATCAAGCAGACCCATTAACATGTAACACTGTGTATTGTTAAGCTTTTTACATACCTCTGTAATATCTTGCAACAAGCAAATACAGGGAGTCCTCGAATTACAACCACAATTCAGCCTAAGATTTCTGTTGCTAAGCGAGATAGTCCTTAAGTGAATTTTGCCCCATGTTGAGACCTTTCCTGCCACCGCTAAGTGAATTACTGCACTTAAATTAGTCACATGGTTGTTAAATGAATCTGGCCTCCCCATTGACTATGCTCAAAAAGTCACAAAAGGGGAATCACATGACCGCCAGGTCACCACAGCCGTCATAAATATGAGTCAGTTGCCAAGCATCTGAATTTTGATGGCATGACCACAAGGATGCTGTAACACTCTTAAGTATCACTTTTTTTCAATGCTGTTGAACTTTGGACGGTCACTGAATGAACTGTTTTAAGTTGAGAGTTAACTGTATGTGGCTTTAGGGGTGGATTACCTTTCACTACCATACTGGAACTGTCTGGATCAGGGGTGTCAAACTCAAGGCCCTGGGGCCAGATTCGGCCCACAGGGTGCTTAGATCTGGCCCATGGGGCTGCCCTGGAAATAGTGAAGGACTGGCCTGTGGTGCCTCTGTCAGCAAAAACAAAGCTCAATTTTTGCTGGCAGATGGTTGAAGGAGGCCATCCTAGCCGAAAACGGAGCTCACGAGAGCTGTGCAATGTTCCTTCCCCCCCCCCCCCAGCTCCATTTTCACCTCATTTGCAGGAGGCCATCGCAGCCAAAAATGGAGCTTGGGAGCCCGTTTTCACTGGCAGAGCACTTGGGCCGCCATAAGAGCCCGACATGAGTGACATTGAATTGGCCATGCCCACCTTATCTCTCTCTCTCTCTCTCTCTCTCTCTCTCTCCCTCCCTCCCTCCCTCCCTCCCTCCCTCCCTCCCTAGTACTGTTCAAACTCTAAGTAAAGTTTATGCTTGTTTGTATGAAGGTTCATTAAGAGGGGGAAACGAATAAAGAAGGGATAATGGATAAAGTATAATTTTTTTAAAAAAAACAAAAGATTTTGCAAGGTACATAAGATGAGATGGTAGTATTGCAATGGTTTAAGAGTTGATAAGAGATTAAAATGTTAAAATGTTTAAAAATGATTGGCTTTAAAACTTAATAATAGGAGAGGTTTAGAATATTGTTTTAATTAAAGAGTTTAATAAAATTATGGTATTGATGTTATTATAAAATTTTTATTATAGTATTTCTTTTTAATATTTGGATTTATTGTCTAATTATGCACTTAATTGTGTTGGATGTACTAGTTAGATAGAATGTACCAAGCAAAATCTGATTGGGTATTAGATATTATTTTAAAGATTAATTTGATTAACTTAGGGGGGAGATAGAAAGGCATCATACTCTGATTAATGATTTCAGGAGAAACTGATTTTCTTTTTTTTCATAAGGGATGAGACAAAGGGATGATAAAAAATGGACAAAAGATACAAATATAATGATTTAAACTAAGATGATTAATTAAGGTAGTATTAAGAAGTGTGAAATATGTGGAGAAGTTAATATAGAAGGCTTAGAATGGTAAATAAAATAAGTAATGATATGTAAGATGAGCATGAATATAATTGAAGTCCATGAAGAGAGAGACACCTGGGTCCAAGTTACTTTCCAAAAAGATTTTTTTTTATGTTTTGTGTGTTGTGTGTATATGTCTTTTTTGGGGGGAGAATTGGTAAAAACTTGTAGAAATATAGAATGAGAATAATGGTAACTAAGTCAGAAAGAATCAGATGAAATAATAATAATGATATTGAATAAGAGTAAAGAGAAGTAAAGAGAAATTGAATAAGAGGTTTTGGTATATTATATGGAAATGGTTTAAAACAGAATCATAATTTATCTGACTTGTTAAATTTACAATGGAAAAAGGTTTAAACATGTAATGAATAATGATAATTTGTGTGTTTTGAAAATTAATAAAACTTGTTTTAAAAAAAAAAAAAGAAGGGAGGAAGAAAGGAGAAAAATGAAGGTAAAAGAGGAAAGATCAGTTACTGTAAAAGTAACAATCACAAGACCATTCAATAGTTTCTATTCTTTACTGGGCTTTTTGTTGCATAGAGTAACTCACACCACACAATGGTTCCCTGCCAAGTTCACTGAAAAAAAAAAAGTTATCTACAACTGCTGGGAACCTGGATAAAATGCCCCACCCTACATCTAATCAGATAGCCTTGTGCTGAGTTAAGTTTGGCTCAGAACATATACCAAGTATGAACACCACGAAACTGTGCAAATTAAGTCACAGGTCAAATGTGTGGCTTTATCAAAGTAAGGCTTAGTTATCCACACAAGAGAGCCATATAATTCTCTTCTGCAAATCTCTGAAAAACTGGCTCTGCTTTCAGGCCTGGGATTATGATGGCTGGCAATCACATTAGTTTCCTTTTGAGACGCTGGTTCTTTCTTCCAAACCTACTTCTTTTTTCTTTCATTTTACTGTTTCCTATTTTTGGAGATGGAAGCCACTCAGAAACACTGGGAGTTGGGTGGCTTTTAAGACCAATAAATAATAAATAAAAAAATCATTTGACTAGTCAAATGATTGTTTAATAATGATATTAGGATATATAATTGTTGATCGATAATATGAGTTATTATGTAACATGATTATTATGATGACTATGAAATGGATGCACAATAAGGAGTGGTAAACCAACCGATACACTGTCTGTAAATATATGAAGAATGATGATGTTTTTTATGTTATGTTTTATGTTTTTTGTGTTTTTGTTTGTCGTTAAAATCAATAAAAACTTTTAATAATAATAATAATAATAATAATAATAATAATAATAATAATAATAATAATAATAATAATAATAATAATAATAAAATCGCTCCATACCTCCAGAACAATCATCATTCCTATTATCATTGAATATATGTCATACTGGGCTACTTGCTGGCTTAAAGAAGAACTCAGGCTCTTGAGAGCTTCCAAATATTGTTTTATGATTTTCTTGCTCAAATTCATGACAACTTGTGTACTACTACCGTCCACGTAGTATTGAATCCAATTCCCATGAGCTTTTTCTGCCTTCATAAACATTTCAAATCCAGGATCTAATAATAAGAGATGAAAATGCAGATAGAACATGATATTTTAATATAGAGTTTAAACTAAAGCTTTCCTCGTAATGTTTAACCAGTTGTTTTTCTGAATTTATGACTACCAGAATGAACAACAGTGGACTAGATCACCCATAGCCCCAAATACTTACTCGTGTTTCTCCGAAAATAAGGCCCTGCCTTATTTTTTTTTCCACAAAAAAAGGCACCAGGTCTTATTTTCAGGGGGGATGTCATCCACTGACTCACCTCATTTGCGTGTGTTGCCCCAGCCTCCTTTTCGCTGTCAGAGGCCTTCAGGAACTCCTTCTGCAGCCGGCAAGTCTTGCCTCAAAGGCCTCCACAGCTGATAACAGAGCTCCAGATTGATGCGGAACTCTCTTATTGGCTGCAGAGGCCTTCAGGAAAGCCTTGCCAGCTGCAGAAGAAATGGGGCAGCAAGGCAGGTGTCGGGGTGTGCGAGACCTGGCTGCAACTGTCCGAAGATAAGTAATAAGGTACCTCCACACCACCCATCCCTACTCTAGTTTAATTTTTACCTGTGCACCCTGGAGTGGACTGAGTCTTAATTAGGGCTTATTTTGGGAGTAGGGCTTATATTGGGCACATGTGTAAAATCAAGCTAGGACTTACTTTTGGAGTAGGTCGTACTTTGGGAAAACACAGTATTCAGGGTTAGCTAACTTTCTAGGTAGTCGTTACTTACCAATGGTAATTGGGACTGGGTACTCTATCACTAAGCAATGTGTTCACATTACAATAGCAGCAATCCCAATTGCCCTTCTTAGGTGAATCCTGCCCGTTCACAATGTCCCATTATCAGGTGATCACCATTTGCAATCTTCTGCGGGCTTTCTTACTGGCTTTGTTTGTTGAAAGCCAGCAGTGAAGGTTGTAAACGGCAATTGCATAATTGCAAGGCACTGCAATGTCATAACTGTGAGGCATAAACAAGCACCTGATTGTAATTATGTGATCGCAAGGACACTGTGATGGCTTACAGCATCATAAATCCCCTAGT